AACCCCAGCATAAGCCATACGTGAACTGGAGAACCGCGTGGGGTCTCAACATATCACCCATAATCCTCACCTACTTCCGTCCTCAACACCAGCTGTAGGCGAGGGAGGGCCGATGTCGTGACTTGGGGATGAAGACAGTTTAGAAGTGTTGAACCAAGGAGCTTTCATCACCGACATCGGTACGTGCTGAAATGCACCGATGAGAGCTCCTTGGTTGAACCGTTGCACGATGCTTGTTTACCCCCATCAAACTCCTTTCAAGCCGTACCCGGAAATTCAAGCCCTACCCGCTCAAAAATTCCGGCCGTACCCGGAAATTCGTGCCGTACCCTGTACTTTTTCGCCGTACCCAATGGCGGATATCGCTCAGCCCTGGTGCGTAGTCACTCGGAAGTCGTGTCTAAATACCCTGTACGGCAACGATACACAACCTCATATAGCCTATGCTCTGGTGAATATTCCTGGCCACCTATCTGCCGAATGGCGTCGTACAAATCGCGCCCAATCTTGAGAACACTTCGCTCACTTTTTAATGGGGGTGTTGCATTCATTCACCAACGCGCAGTTGTTACCACCGTTTGTCTATAGTTATTTCAGCACAGTAGAGTGACAGGAAGTGATGGGGGAAATGGTGTAACCACAGACTGACCGGAAGGTTGCATTGTGGGTCAAAATGGTCCCAATCAATCCACAAGCTTTCAAAATAAATGTCCACCGCCCACCCGTCACATCTGCCGTACCTATCTAGCTCTGTGCCTAGAAGTGTCCAATTAGCTTTGCACTGAGCAATACCGTTTAAAAAAGTTTTCTGTCTCCAGTTATATTCATGTCTTCTACTATTCACTTATGGAAGCCAGTGGGAAAATGCATAGACATACTGTATCAAGCGAGAAATTCCCAACAGCTCGAAGTATACATCAGGGAGGAATGAAATCTTCAAAGTCTTGTTTTCGATATATTTCTGATGTTGAAGAACAGAATGTGTATCTTTAAACTTTTTTTCTGACAATGTTAAACAGTTTGAAGGCACTCTTTCCAAATTCGACCCAAGGTCACTGGCCACAGTTTTGGCTATTTAGCAAGAACGCGTGTGCCACATATGTTTTCAACCCACCTAGGCTTCGTTACCCATGTAATCCACGTATATATATACGTAGGGGTTATCGTTCAAAGTCAAACAAGCGTATGATACAAGGTCGAGGTTACCAAAAGGTCACAGCCTTTCCGGAGCCAACGTCGCTTTCATATGGAACAGGGCCATGAAGAGGGAGAAAACAAACAACTTTTATTGAGGCCAGCTTATGAATAAATCGACGGCGACTTCTTGTGTTGCTTTTAAGTGACGGTGAGATATAAAACTAGCGCGTGCATTACTGTTTATGATACCTTTCTAGGAAAGTATTAGTAGGAGGTGCATTTTGCACTGGGGGTCAATGTACGTACTACGTAGACACATAGAGAGATGTACATTAGTTATATTATATAGACTTTTTAGTTGCAAAATCATGCCCGAAGGCTAATTGCTTTTACAATCAAAGATACTATTCGGTATACAATACAATAATAGGACACAGACAACTACTGTCTGGAAAACTTCTACTTCTACCACTGCGCTAGCTATTATGAGGTTGACTTCTGCTTTGAAGGCAGTGGATAATGAATAGTCCCACATTCTGCATAATGAGTGGGTTTTGTGATCTTAGTAGAAACGTAGTCTTTGTGTCAGCGAAATTCATTATGCAATAAAAAAAAATAGGGAAAAGGCTGCTACAGAATACAGCCTAGTAGTAATTCTTGTGACAGGTTCTACCCAGCATCTGCACTTGTTATTGGTAAGAGCCCATTGGGGTTATCTATGGCGGCAGTAGGTAGCAGGGTGTCAGGACCAATGACCTCATTTTTATTAGGGTTGCGCGCGCACCAGATAGCGTGGGACGTCAAACTACCCAGGTACTGAGGATGATAGGCAGTTCAGACGTCATAACAATCATAACAACTGTGCCTCATATTATCACGCCAAAAGCATCAATTTCGTACAGTTTTCGTGATCTATTGGGGCGTCCACGAATACATGTGAAACAAGAGTTCCACGATCTCATACCTTCGCCAAAAGATGTTAACCCTTGCGGGTGACGAATTCTACAATTTTAATAATTGATTTTGTAAAT